TAGAAGAAAAAATGAAAATTAGTTTTTAATTTCTTTTTGAGGAAAGGGCCTTCTTAAACTTTGTTCTTGTTACATAACATCGAGTTGGAACCAACTTATCACTGCCCTCCCATGGGTTTTCAGAGGCCATAAATCTCCCAGAAGCCAACGTCCATTCAAACTGCATGCCTTTAAAGCGGCAGTGTAACTGGTTTACTAGATTAAAAGACCTTGTGGGTCAACTTAGTCAACGGCGTAACAGTTCATAAAGCTAATGTTCTACATCCCAGCTTGGTGAGTAGTGTCTGGGATCTTTGCAAGTAACCATCTACTCATTTGCAGCAAAAAATAAATAAGGAAATTAAGACTCAAAGAAATAATCAGCTGACAGAGGACAAAGAATCCACACAAACCATGTCCTTTTCTAGCTTGAAGACTAAAAGAACTAGATACCTGGCAACTGAGCTACCACTACTGACTGGTCTGACCAGGCACACAACAAAAGGTTCTAGAGAGAATGAGGAAAAAAAAATATCGAACAAATTCAGTTCTGAAAAGAGACGAGACTTACTGGACCAACAGAGATCAGAGGAACCTCTGAGACTACAGCCTTAAGAAACCCTTTGCCCATTTTTCTACTGAGGAGCCGGTGGTAGATTTAAACTGTGTGCCTTTGAATTAAGAAGCCCTTTGAACTTGGAATTTAAACTACTCCTAGAGGTTATTTTCTAGCCAAATAATAGACTGGCTTATAGAATAAACAACTGTGAGTAAAAAGCTCCCTTTAAAAATCAGCTGTATGAGACCAAACAGTCAACATTTATCCAAAAGCAAAGATGAGAACTTAGGAAAGGAATGGAAGCTAGATCACGGAAAACAGAAAAACAAAAATGGAAATAATGACAGTCCTGACATAGTAAAAATTGTAAATTGTAACCAATGTTATAGAACAGTTTATATAAAAAGTGTTAAATGAGAAGTTTATTTGCTATGTAAACATTCACCTAAAACACAGATTTTAATTTTTAAGTTCATTTAAGTTCTCTTCAATTCTGTTCCCTATTGCTCCATGAGAACACTGCTTACAGAGTCCCCAGGAAGGAAAAACACCAAAGGGGTCAAAGTGTCTGTAATGATGATTTCATGATCTTTAAAAGCTTTAGATTCTCCTAGAAGAATGGTTACGAGAATTTTTTTTCTTTATTTTTCTGCTTGTTCCAAATTTGCTATCATTACCATGTGTTCCTGTATAATGGGGAAGGGGACAGACAAAAAGGGGATTAATAATTTAGGTAGGCTAGTGAATCAAGAAGTTGAAGAAGTTTCCCTAGCAAGAAGTATTTTTTTTCTATAAATCTTGAAAAACAGGGTTAGTATTGGAGGCAAGTCAGACTGTGACAAAATTAAGATGTTAAACTTTCAGGCAGTGAGGCAATTAGATAAAAATATTTAATCTGCCTTAACCAATCTCCATTAAATAACTCATTAGATTAATGAACGCTCTCCATTTCTTCTGGAAAATATTATCTGAAGCAGGAAGAATTATTGTAGTTAAAAGACAGTTGTCTGTTTACTAAGAGTCCACTGTGGCTGTTCCCAAAGCAGGTTATGGCAGTTCTGCAGTTAATATAATAGCTGTGTAACTATCACAGAAATAAACAAATATACAAAACGTTGTTTCTTTGAAAACTAAGTTGAATACTTTTATGCAAATCAATAAACATGAGTCTCTAAAGAACTGTTGTTAGACTGAGCACAGGTGAAACATCTTTACAAAGGACTAGAAAAAGAATTTATAAAATCTAGGATTTTTGCCCTTAGTTTGCTTCACAAGTGCCCAAGTTTTTTATGTATATGAAAAGAAATTAAAAGCACAAATGAAAGATAATGCTTTGTCTGCAAGGTTTATAAAATAAAGTCAACAAGGAACTTCAATTGGGGGACTTACAAAGAAAATCCATAGTCTTACATAAAAAAATGAATGAATGAATGAATACAGAGTTGTATCATTCCTTAGGTTTCCTCTCGTTTAACTCACCAATCAGTAAGCTCAATCACACCAGTTAAAGTGCTTTTCTAACTCACCAGCTCAGGATCATCTTCTTCCACGTTTGTAGGTTTCCCTTCCTTCTTTAATTGCTTTTTTCGCTCTTTCACCTTTAAAAAAAAAAAAGTTTTCATCAAAAGATTGGCATGACTACTTTGAGACTATGCATCATGTCCTACACATAAATATACACTTTCCTGAAGGTATGTTAGACCTCAAAAAAAAAAAAAAATTAAAAAAGATAAGACCCTCATCTTCCATCCCAAAGCATCAATGCAATCTAGAGGGGAAAAAAAAAAAGATTATTTCTCTAATCTCACCTAAAAGTCCTTCTACCAATATGAAAGGGAAAGGCTAGCAATTGTCTCCAATCCCCTGTATACTACGCCAGATCTGAAGAGCCTCCAATACATTGAACTGAGATTAGTGATTTACCTTTTACAACTGTGGTTATATACTTAACAGCAAAGTTTATGTATCTTATGGGTTAAAAAAAAAGTCTAAGTATTTTGTGAAGTTTAGAAGAGAATTTTTGGCATTATAATTTAAAGGTGGCTCTTACTCTGTTTTTAATCACTTCTACAGCTAGATTCTTGGCAAGCTAACTGTGAAACCTCCCCTAATACGAATAAATTTCATGTAATATTACTGATGTTTTTACTACTTTGGCTACGAGAAGGTAATGAAAAATTTAAATATTCCCTTTCATACAAGAATATTATTCTATTACAGTCCTTTAATCACACCATTACAAAGCCAGAAAGCTCAGAAAGGCCCTACTGCCACCTTGTGGTCAGAAAGTAAAAAGATAGCTCTTAGAGCTTCCACAATACAGAGAGGAAAATTGTCAGACATTTTCCTGACTTTTACCAAAACTAAGCCTACAAGTGTCATCACATCTAGACCATAACCAGCAATGCTTATTATGGCATTCCAGACTTTTCTTTTTTGCATATTTTCCTTACCTAGATTCATTATTATTGATTTTAAGTTTGTTTCAGGTTCTAAAGCTTTTCAAAAGAAATGTCACATCCAATACTCCGCTGAAAAAATTATAAATAGCACTGATTGTAAAACCACTCTTATCACCTCAAGAATCTTGCCACATATGTTAAAAATTAAAGACTTTATCTCAAGCAAGTTATCCTAACATCTCCCAAGCAGGAGCTTTAGGTATGACCCAAGTACATGAAGTAGTATCAGCTAATTTCTTTTCATAGGTCCGTCCCAACTCTCATACCATATTTATTAAAAATAATGCTCATATCCCCTTGACAGCCTTCCTCAAGTCCATATTCAACGACACAGGGACAATAATAAAATAAAAATCAAGGGTCAAATATGACAGCAGTCATCCACTTTTCCACACTCTAAATAGAGTAATGAATGTGACAATGTGTAACAGGTTAATAAAAGTCCTCTCTCAAAAACACAAGGGTAAGTTGTGAAAGAGATTAAGAGTGATGACCTAGCTGTTCCTTTCCCTGAGCTCTCATGGTGAATGAAAGCTACAGGAACATACTCTTTTTAAGCTCCATAGCAAAGTGGTGAAGCCCACGTTAAGTGGCCACCAGTTAAGTTAATTGGCATTGCTATTCTAACATTTACCCTCCTACAAGTTGCCCAAAACTTGCTGGTACTTCCTGTAAACACAGCAGCACTATAAATACTTACAGTGTGTTCCACGTATTCTTTTCCTGCCTGAATTACATCCAGGGCCCTCTTCTTTTGTTCCTGATCCAGTAGCAACTTGTAAGCTTTGTCCACAGCTAATGCAAAACATTGAAATTAACTGTTTCTGCAAATACCCTCTGAAAGTCTGAACTATACTCAGGCAATGTAAATGAGCTTGTGCCGTCTAAAAGTATCCCCTAGTTTGTTATTTACTGTTGTTAAACTAATTTTAAAACATACAACTATAGCAATGAATTCCTTAAGAGCCTTGGAGGAAAATTATGTCTACACACAAGATTAGGAACACTACATCTATATTTAATTAAATATCAAGTATTTCCAATATTTTTTTATATTTAAAAATTTAAAAAAGGATCCAAATACAATAACAGCCTTAGATGGTATGTAAGATTTACACAGCAAAAGTTAAGGTCTACTTCTTAAATGGCAGCATTCTGGTTTAGGATGACCATTGTTCTACTGAAAACCACAGTTTTTTTATGACCAGAAGACAAAATTAGAACATTCCTTTCCTAATCCAGGCCAAGGGACAGTTAGTCTCTAGTACTTAAAACATATGACACAGAAAAGGGTAAAAATACCTTCAAAGGCCTTTTGTGCTCGGTCAGCATCATCTTGATTTTTGTCAGGATGCACCAAGATAGATAACTGAAATAAAATGTTAGGTCAGTCAGTAAGAGAGGAACACGCGTAACCCTTGAATAAAATTCAAGTTGTAACAGGTACACACAACTGGTAACATTTAAGTTTCAATAACTGAAATTGAAGATAGAAGCCTAGCTCTGAAGAGTCTGTGATAATCTGGCAGTGAATGTGACAAGAAAAGTACTGCTTTCCTATTATCTTCTGTATTCGGAGCAATAATGGATATTAGGAAGTATAAGGCCTCATTTCTTTCCTAAAAGAACGTCTAAAACAAAGCAGTTCTATGGCTGTGCTCTAGCCCTGTGAAGTATTTTAAAAACACAGAGGTATGCTTTGCAGTCTCTGACCAACTCAGTCAGTCAGTCATTTGTACTTTTTAAACTGTTTAGACTGGATAGTATTACTGTTGTTATGTGCCATCTAGTCTCCTGCGACTTATAGCTGCCCTAAACCCTGTTCTATCTTGTGCCAGTTCCACTGTAAAAGCTCCACCTCAGTTGCACTATCTGCTAGTCTAAGTGTGTTCTATTATACATAGAGCTTTCGAAGGCCTGTTATTTCAGAAGTGGATGGCCAATCTTTCTTCCTAGTCTGTCTTAATCTGAATGCTCAGATTTAGAAAAGTATCTGACAGATAAGCATTTTACAGAAAAAAGCAGATGATATAAAAATATGAACATTTAAAAAAATATTAATTTTTGTTAGGTATAATAAGTCAATATATAGAAAATCATCCTTTAATTTGAAGAAATATAAACTAAAGTGTTGTGAGTCACTGTGACCTTCAGAACAGATCTCCCCATTTATGTTTCCTAGGCTGCAATCGTAATGGGAGTCGATTCCTAGGTCTTTTTTCCCCAAGGAGCTGCTAATGACTTCAAACCACCAACCCTCTGGTTAGCATCCGAGTATTTAACCATTATCACAGGACTTTTTCCTACTAAAAGTATTTAGGTGTAAAGTGTCACAGAAATAATAATGTGCAATGACTTAGCCAAAAATACATAGAGAAGCAAACTGTTGGACATAGGTGGTGGATAATATGGGTCTTTTCTTTCTCTTCTTTTTTTCCTTTCTCTTATTAAAAACGGTCCTGGTTGTGTAGTGCTGCTAGTCAAAAGGACAGCAGCTGGAACCCACTGACCACTCCATAGGGGAAAGAAAGAACAAGATACTTCTATAAAGGTTTATAGCTCTGGAAACACTCTGGGGCAATTATACTTTATATTACAAAGTTAAGAGTCAGAACTCTACTGTATCTGATAAAGTTGTTAGAGTTAGTAGGGTTTTGGTAGTTTTTGAGGGTTTTTTTCTTTTTTTAGCTTCTTTTTTAAATACTACAAAAATGTTTTCATAGTAATAAAAAAAAAAAAAAAACTTAGCTAAAAAAACTCCACAGCTAATTCTTTCTTTCCTGCAGCTAGGGGTATTGTCACTGGAAAGCAGAAACCAACTAATTAGAACATAGAGAATAATATTAGGGCATCACAGCAAGTGAGAACTTAGTAAGTGCAGCATTAACTGAAGTGAGAATCCTAAATTCTAATTCCAACTTTAACTACTTACAAGCTACTTACTTCAACTACTTATTTACTCAATAAGCTGCTGGACAACTCATTTAGTCTATCTGACTCAGTTTCCTCAGCTTTAAACAGGATAATAATAGGTAATCTCACTGGGCTGTGTGGTATATAGTGGCTCTATTGTTCAAAATGGTTTTCTGAGGCCATTGTCTTTGCCACATGGCTGGGCACGGACACAGAATGTAAACAGAATGTCTTAGTCTGACCACTGGCCAGTTTGGCATTCCATCAGATTTAAATTGAGCAGGTTCAGCAACAGAAAGGGGGACTCTCACTATCAGCAAGGAAGAAGCAGCAGAGAATGTCTTTGGGGCCAGAGATTTTTCGGTCACTGAAACTGGGAATAACTGCCTCAGTGGAGAACCAGAGACCTGATGTGAGACAGTGGATGTGGGGACCACTGCCCCAAGGAACCAGAGCCAGGGCCTTCACCCAAGCCTGCTAGTGGACTTGAGGAGAAAACACCATAATTGGCAGGACTAAGAGAGCTTTGTAACATTGGCCTTATGCCACAATGCTGGAAGCGTGGCAAACATTCTTAAGAAACTGTCCTGGGCCCTTCTTCCATATGTCCTTTCAGGGAGGGTGGTCCATCCATTTGAAGATGTTAACTTTCTAATAAATCTATCATTTCTATTTTACCCTATTAAAAAAAAGAGAGAGAAGTAGTTGTCCTGATTGAGAAATTATATCCTGTTGTCAACCTTCTAAGTTGTATAAGCTGTTAGTTAACTTCCTTAATAAACTCCCTAATTGTGAGTATGGTTCTGTGCGGCCTCTGTAGTCACTTCAAGGGATTTCAGACCCAGAAGAGTAGTATGACTAGTGTTGGAATTAGCAGGAATAAGTGCAGGAGAGTGGAGGGCATTTCTTTTTTTTCTTTTTTTTTTTTTTTGTCGTGGAGGGCATTTCTGATCCCAGGAGAATAAATTTTGTGTTGTGGCTACTAGGACAGGGGATAGGGGACAGTCTAGTAGAAGTCACATCTTCCCATCCCCAAGCTTCCCTCGTTCTTTTTACAGGCTGTTAGCACTGAACATTCCATGGACGGCCAAGAAAACTAATAGCTATGTCTTGGAGAGGGTTCAGCCAGAGTGCTCTCTGGAGACAAGAATGTCACATACTTTGGACATACTGCTAGGAAGTGCTATTCCTGGGAGAGGGCCATGATGTTGGGAAGGGTGGAGGGTCAGCAGGGAAGAAAAAGACCCTTAACTAGGTGGACTGACAGACAAGGTGACTGCTGCAATGGGCTCTTCTGTGTCAGCAAGTGTGGGGATGGTGCAGGACTGAACTGGTTTCAGATCTTTCGTTCATAGGGTCACTATGAATTGTACTCAACTCGATGCTACCTATCAACAGCACAAAGAAATAATTCAAGTAAAGAACTTAACATGATGTCTTAACAATAAATGATATTATATACTGAGGACACACTATGCGTCAGTCAAAGTCTTTTCTAATGGCTTTAAAGCAGATAACCTTACTTAAAATTATCTTAACAACCCCGTGGAGTAGGCACCAGCATGTGTTTTTTAGATGAAGAAACAGGTACAGAAGAGTTAAAAAAAAATTTTCCTAAGCTCACTGCTTGTAAGTGGTAGTACAGTCAAGGGTTAGTATGAATGGCCATACTCAATCATTAGGCCTTAATAACTACTCAGGAAGAACTCTTATTGAGTTCTTTATGCAGCTACATAAATAGTTGTCTTGAATAAGGACATGAATGCATGCTTATTAAATTGGAAAAGACAGCTAATGTATTACATCAGGAAACTTTAGATTTTAGAGAAAAGAAAAAAGCTGAATATAAGTGCAAAGTAAAACTCAGGAAGAAAAAAGTTATATAATGAGAAGTAAGTGAGTAGGCAAAGATTAAAAAGCATGCTGGCTTAATAGCAGATCAGAAGATGAGCCTGAGTCAGCAATGTGGGGGCAATTACTGTATTGAAGAAGGAGGTACAGCATCATGCATAAACTAAGAAGCATATCATGCAGGAGGTGAGAATTACTGTCAGCTTTCATCAAGTCCTACAGTACACAGAAATTGAAGAAAATGTGTAAAAAAAAAAAGCAAATGAAATAGTAAAAACAGATTACAGGATTACAGGGAGTGTGATTACTCAACTCCTAGAACAAAAGAATGGTGGTTACCGAGTTATCAAAACTGGGAGGGTTTATAAAAAAGGTTCCTATAAAATTTGTGACTCAAATATATAAACATCAGAATGGGCAAGAATTGGGAGTTTGTGGTTCTCCTTTCCTGAAGAACTTTGGAGCGGTACTAAATCAGGTCTCTCTTATTCATTTAAACCAATAAAAGATAAAATTACTGAGAGGTGGGGTAATAAAAATAAAAAAATTCATTTGCCGTGTTCTATCCAGAGAGCCAGGGGATTTGACACATACACGTCCACATGAGTCCTACTAGTCTATGCTGCACTTTCCCCTCTTAACCTAAGGAGCAACAGATTCTTCTCGAATACAAAATTCATTCTAGTCACAGATAAGCTATGGTTACCAAGATTTTAAGTCACTATAGTGTTTTAAGAACAGTTGCTCAAACTTTATTTAAAAAATTTACACTTTGCCCCAAAAGTTATCAAGAATCAATTCCTAAGAGAATCACGTGTTAAGGGTATTTTCAAAAGAATCATCCTCTAGTACAAGGAAATAACACCATACCTGCCGAAATCTCTTTTTTATTTCCTCATCTGTCACTTCAGGATCTATCTGAAGAACCTAGAAGAATAAAAATCAAACTGTAAAATATTAAAAAATAATTTATAATTTTAAGAGAGGCCCAGTAATTGAGGCATACTAGAATTAGCATGAGAAACACTGATGGTACAGTGGCTAGTTAGCTGCTAACTGAAACCATCTGAACTCACCAGCTCCTCCAGATACAAAAGGTGAGGCAGTCGGCTTCCAGAGTTTTACAGCTTATGAAACCTTAAGGGGCAATTCTACTGTGTTCTACAAGGTCACACGGTGAGTCAGATCAACTCAAGAGTGGCTTTATTAAAAAAAAAAAAAAAAAAAAAAGAGTGGCTTTATAATCAACATCCAGAACAGTATCTACTGTTCTAGAATACTGACTAGCACACGATTCTTTAGTTACTAAAAAGCAAGCATATATATATATATAGATATATTCAATAACAGGGAATAAGAGCTATATAGTTCTAGAATCCCAGCTGATACAGTGCTTATTTAACTTCAGACATAATACAAATATGCTAACAAGTGTAATAAGTCACAATTATCTGCAACCTCTTTTCAAATAACTGGGCAATAAGAAAGAGGATATAAAAAACACACAGACTACAAAAGTTATTTTTCAAAACTCACATCATATGTGCACTGATCACTGGCAACAGTCAGTGTCTTCAAAGTTAATCAAGCATTTTTTTCTGTCTTTTAAAGAGTTGAGGATAGCACACGTGACTATCAAACATGCTGAAGACAAGCAGCCTAGCTACACATGGCCCATACTTCTTTGAAGCCAGATTCATACATTCCCAAACAAACTTTCTGAGCATGTAGGATTGCCAGAAACAGTCTTCATCACTGTTCACAAGGAATTTAAATTCCAACAGGAAATTGACAAGTAACTAACATAATGATGAATGCTGTATTAACAATTAGCTCTCAGGAAGCACACAGATCTGTTCAGACTCTTGGAATGCATTCACTCTGCATTTTATGAACCTCTTCTGTATCTTGGGCTGTACACAGCAACTGGAGACTCATACCTCAAAGAGGTATGTTCCTCATACAGGAACAAAAATGTTTGACTGTGGCGTTCATGTAAGTTGCTGAACTGAAATTAATGATAACAACAATCCCCTTTTGGATTTTTGCTTGAAAAGGGAATCCTGTCTAAGATCATATGTGAACTCTCTTACTGATTAATAACGTGCAAATTCCAAAGTCCTGTGAGATAAACACCTTTCTATCCAAGGTGCTAAACAGAAAACAGACTTGGCTGCTGGGGCCTTACAATTATTTTTTAACTTACCCGTATTAGTCAACGAACCACTGAGTCCAAAAATAATATTATAGAAGAATAAAGATATGGTGACCCAATTCCTTACCTTTTCTGTTTTTCCTCACTGACAGTAAAACAAAGGTCAAGTATTGTTTGGTTGTACACATAATAAGTTCTACAATGAAAAGTTTTACTCCATAACAACAATAATGCAATATGAACTGTAACATATAAATTGTGTCATTTCTTTGATGTTTTCATGTGACCTCAATGTTTCTATATCAGAATTTAAACCTGATGGCACACAATATAACAATTAATGATAAAACTAAAAAAAAAAAAAAAAAGCAAAACAATTTCTTTTTTACAAAGAGAACCTCAACATGAGTTCCTCTAAGCTTAAAAAAAGTGGAAGAGGGTTCTTGATCAAAGATTAATTGTATAATTAATTAATTAGGTAAGAGATGGTTGCATAATGGCAAAAGGTTAGACAGAAATGTATTCAAATAAAGGTCAGTAGAGATGGTAAGCATTTAGAAAAGCTCCCTGGATAAGGATTAGTAGTCCTTGTAGAGTAGTGGTTAAGTTCTTAGTTGCTAACCAAAAGTTAAAGTTTGAACTCACAAGCAACTAACTCACTGGAGAAAGATGTGGCAAGCTGCTTCCATTAAGAGATTTACAGCCAAAAAGAAAAGAAAAAGATTTACCGCTTTAGAAACCCACTTTTTCCTATTAGGTCACTGTGAGCTGGAATCAATTAGCAGTGGGCTTGGCTTTTTTGGTTTGGATAAGATCCCTCAAATTGTCTGATCCCTCAATGGTTGGATAAATGCCCTCAAACTCTCAATTTATTTCCCCCTTCTTTCTGCTGCTCAGGAAAATGGTATACAGAAAAACTATTCAAATTTTAATTAATTCTTTACTTTGAAAGCACAAACACTAATACTGAAATGATACAGAGAAAACTAGCATGGCCCCTGTGCAAAGGACGACAAGGAAATTCATGAAGCATTTCATGTTTTTATTGTAATTAATATCCTAAAACAAAATGTACATGACTAAGTGACTGGAAAAACCAATATTCTCAATAAATTTTCATTCAAATCATGATTTGTTTAAAAGTTTTTAACTGATTGTAAATTGTAAAGATAACTATAACCACATTATCTCTCCTTACTTGAAGAGGCCAAACTGATCACCTATGTAGATAAAATCTGACTCATAAGTAGACATTTCAAGAGTTGCTAAGTGAAAAAGAGAAGTCACTGTTTTCCTAAATAAATAGGAATACCTAATTTTTTAAGATAATGACATCCAAATCATTGGTGCATTTATACAAACCAAAAAGGAAGTAAGTTCTAATGGCTAATTGTGGAGCTATACCCATTCAAATACAACCTCACCCTATCTTCACACACCCAAACAATTCCCAGATACACAGTACACAGATACCGCTTCCTCGGTAGGAGGTATGAGGCAGAGAGTTCCACTGAGGCACCGAGTTCCACTTTCAGAGCACATTAACTAACAGAGTACTCAAGTCTAGCCTACAGACTGGTCTCCAACAGGGAGATCTTCTGATTAATCAGAGCTCCACAGTAGATGTCAATTATCTTAACAAACAGAAAACATGTTACATGATCACATAGCCCCTATGCATGGTGTTGTTGTTGTTGTTGTTGTTGTTATGTGCCGTCGAGTCATTTGCAACTCATAGCGACCCTATGTACAACAGCCCTAAACCCTGCTCTATCCTGTGCCAATCGCATTGCCTCTGACACACCCATCCCGATTACCCCAGTCACTGAATCAATCCACCTCACAGAGGGTCTTCCCCTCCTGCGCTGTCCCTCTACCCTACCAAGCATGATGTCCCTCTCCAAGGACCCATCTCTCCTTACAACATGTCCAAAGTATGTCAGACGAAGCCCCAGAATCCTTGCCTCCAAGGAGTAGCCTGGTTTAACCCTCTCTAGGATGGCTCTGTTTGTTTTCTTGGCAGTCCATGGAACATTCAATACTCTTCTCCAGCACCACAGCTCAAAGGCGTCAATTCTCCTTCTATCCTCCCTAGTCATTGTCCAACTCTCTGATGCATAACAAGTGATTGCAGACCATGGCCTGTATCGGGCGTACCTTAGTCTCCAGAGAGACACCATTGCTCTTGAGTACTTTAGAGTCGTCCCTAACAGCAGACTTTCCCATTGCAATACGTTTTTTGATTTCCTGGCTGCTGGTGCCAAGAGTGCTGACCGTGGAGCCAAGCAAACTGAAGCTGTGAACAATCTCAATCTCTTCGCCATCCATCCTGATGCTACCGATTGGTCCAGTGGTGAGAATCTTTGTCTTCTTGACATTGAGCCTCAGTCCATACTGAAGGCTGCAGTCCCTGACCCTCTGCAGTAAGAGCATGAGGTCCTCCTCAGTTTCAGCTATGCATGGTACTATACTAAATTTACAAGTATGGCTATGCCTACTGGTTAGTAGTTGTGTTGCCAATCCATAAGCAGACAATTTGAACCCACCAGCTGCTCTGTGGGAGAAAAGTAGACTATCTCGTTCTGTGTGATTTCTGGTCTCTGAAAACACATTCAGATGGCCAACAAGCACATGAAGAAATGTTCAAAATCCCTAGCCCTGAGAGAGATGCAAATCAAGACAACTATGAGATATCATCTCACCCCAGTAAGAATAGCAAAATTTAACAGAACAGCTAACAACAAATGCTGGCGAGGTTGTGGAAAGACTGTAACCCTTATTCACTGTTGGTGGGAGTGTAAAATAGTGCAACCACTGTGGAAAGAGGTTTGGCGCTTTCTCAAAAAGTTGCAAATAGAGAAACCATTTGACCCAACAATTCCATTACTGGGAAGATACCCTATAAAGACCCCAAATGACATCCAAGCAGATATATGCACACCCATGTTTACTGTGGCTTTATTCACAGTAGCAAGGAGTTGGAAACAATCTAAGTACCCATCAATAAACGAATGGATAGAGAAGCTGTGGTATATTCGCACAATGGAATACTATGCTGCTTTGAAAAACAAGGAACTCATATTCATATAAGGGAATGAGAGGCATTAGAAGACTGGTTATATATTATGAAACTGATCAAGAAAATTTTCTAAAGATAATGGAAGTCAGATTTCCCACAACGAGAGACAGGAGTTAAAAACTTAAAAGGAAAGAAAACAAGAATAAACTCTGTTGAAATTAGTTAAACATACAGAGACAATCTATCAACAGGGCCTGAGAGCAGACACCCCAAGAACAATGAGTCCACCTTGCATCCAAATTTTTATATACGTATACCTTTTTTTCTTTTCTTTTAGACACATATAGCATTCTTGGAGAAGAGTATTGAATATACCATGGACTGCTAAGAAAACAAACAGGTTTGTCCTAGAGAGGGTTAAACCAGGCTGCTCCTTGGAGGCAAGGATTCTGAAGCTTCGTCTGACACACTTTGGACATGTTATAAGGAGAGACCAGTCTTGGAGAAGGAAGTCACGCTTGAGAGGGTGGAGGGACAGCGGAAGAGAGGAATACCCTCTATGAAGTGGACTGATTCAGGGACTGGGGTAATCAGGGTGGGTGTGTTGGAGACAGTGAGGTTGGGACAGGATAGAGCAGGATTTAGGGCTGTTGTATGGGGTCGCTATGAGTCACAGGCGACTTGGCAGAACATAACAATGACAACCACCACCACCTAGCATTCTTAAACAAAAGCTACTGGGCCAATGGCAGTACCGTGATGGATGGAGAGAAGATTGAGGTTGTTAACAGCTTCAGCTTGCTCAGCTCCATAATCAACCAACAGTTAGGAAATCAAAAGACAAATTGCATTGGGAAAGTCAGCTGTCAGGGATCTCAATGACGTCAGTCTAGAGACTTAAGAGGCACCAGATTCAGGTCATAGTCCTAGCAATTACTTGTTAAGCATCAGAGAGCTGGACAAAGACTAACGATGACAGGAAAAAAAAATCAATCCCTTTGAGTTGTGGCGCTGGAGAAGAGTACTGAATAAACCATGGACTGCCAGAAGAACAAATAGGTAAGTCTGTTTTGAGGGGGGAAAACCAAGTTTCTCCTTGGAGACTAGGATTCTGAAACACCATTTCACATACTTTGTCCTTGGAGAAGGACATCATGCTTGGAAGAGTGGAGGGACAGTGCAGGAAATGAAGACCCCAGATGAGATGGACTGACACAGGAACTGGTGCAAAAGGGGTAGGTGTGTCGGTGTAAGACTGGTTCAGGACAGGGCAGGCTTCAGAGCTACTGTAAATAGGGTTGCTATGAGTCACAGGTGACTTACTGCCACATAACAACACAACAACAAACTAAAAGAATAGAGGCTTACTGATGAAAACAGGTAAATTCAATCAGATTTAGGGAAAATATCAAAGAGCTAGATCTTGGGGATTTTTTGTTTGTTTTTTAATTTTTATTTTATTATTTTTTTGTGCATGTACTATCAAATCAGATCTGACTGGTACAGAAGAAAACTGTCCCTCCTTCTCCGGCAGAGCATCTGGTAGATTTGAACCATGTACCTCTGGGATTGGAGTGCAGCTTCTTGCCACTAGGCCACCATAGATCTTGGTTTTATACTCCATTCTCAATTGAAAGGAACCAATCTCCTTAATGAAATAACTGTCAGAAAAAGTGCCGTAATGGTAAGAAGCTGTGCTGCAATCTAAAAGCCACATGGTTTAAATCCACCAACTGTTCCCTAGAAGGGTAGGCAATCTCCCATGCAATTTGCTGCCTCTGAAAAATCACTGTAGGATCCACTATAGATTGGTTTCGATTTGACAATCCACAACAACAACACTCAAAGAATAGGGAACTCTGGTGGCCTAGATGGCAAGGAGTTGTGGCGTCAACCCACAGGTAGGTGGTCTGAATCCACTAGTTGCTCTGTGAGAGAAAGACAGGCAATCTCTTTCCATGCAATATACAGACTCTGAGGGCCAGCAATGAGTCAGTTCTGACTTTACAGCAAATAACAACATACAAAGAACAATGAAGATACGTCAGAAAGACACAGGCACTAACTTGAAAGCAAATCTACTGGCTATAATTGGGATAATGTCTATATGAAAATAAATAATAATAAACTATAACTTACTGAATAAAACAGGCAATTATAAATTCACACTGATAAATAAATAAATGAAGTTTGGTGACGAACAGGATACGTAAATATAACCAAAGTACATCCCTATAAAGTCTGATTGAGCAGAAAATTATTTTAAGTAGTCGACATCATTAGTAATAAGATAAATCCAGGACTTCAAAATTGTTTGAATGTATTCAGCCATAGCCAATGAAGCAAAATCCAAACAGACGTGATTTTTATTTTGAGCATACTGTCTGGACGGGCTAGACAAAACACATCATGCTTGAAAAAGTGGAGGGATAGTGAAAAAGAAAATCACTCTCAGGGAGAAGGAGTGACACAATTACTGTCACAATGGGCACAAGTATATTAGGGATGGTGATGACAGCACAGGATAGAGCGAGGTTCAGATCTGTTGTTCATAGGGTGGCTACGAGTTGTACTGGACTCAACGGCACCTAACAACAACAAAATATTTTCAGTGATTGCTCAACATGTTGACAACTTATTCTCAAAGAGTTTAAGAAATGTCTTCATAGTGTACTTGCAATTTATTTTTAACTTCAATTGTTTCAAAATGGAAAACTTACTTTTCAAAAAAAAAATTAAAGCAAAAACATTAAATTTTTCAGCTCCATAGTCAACACTCTTGGTAAGAGCAGCCAGAAAATCAAAAGACGAATTGCATTGGGAAAGTCAGCTGTGAGGGACCTCTCAAGAATACTGAAGAGCAACGACATCAGGCTAGAGACTAAGGTGCGCCTGATCAGTGCTATAGTCTTCATAATTACATGCTATGCATCAGAGAGTTGGACAGTGACTAGGGATGCTAGAGAATTGATGCCTTTGAGCTGTGGTGCTAGAGAAGTGCTGAATGCACCATGGACTGCTAGAAGAACAAACAGGTTTGTCCTGGAGAAGGTGAAGCCGGAATGCTCCTTGGAGGCAAGGATTCTGAAGCTTCATCTGATACTTTTGGCATGCTGAAAAGGAGGGACTGGTCCTTGGAGAGGGACATCATGTTTGGGAGAGTGGAGGGATGGAGCAGGAGAGGAAGACCCTCAATGAGATGGATCGATTCTACTATTTGGGTGGTGTGAATGAGTGTGTCGGAGACAGCAAGGTTAGCACAGGACAGAGCACCGTTTAGAGCTCTTGTACCCAGAGTTGCTGAGTCACAAGAGACTCGATGGCACAAAACAACAACAACCTACCTCTTCACAATGTCCTGGGTGCACAAGTAGTTGTTGTTGTTAGGTGCCAATGAGTCGAGTATGACCCATAACAACCCTAAGAACAATGGATCTGATCTCTGTCCTATCCTGTGCCATCCCCAAACTTTGTGACACATTAGTGCCCATTATGGTAGTAACTGAGACAATCCACCTGGTTGAGGGTCCCCTAGCCACATGCCTGAAGTATGTGAGGTGAAGTCTTAAGTTTGCCTCCAAAGAGCTCTCTTGGTTGAACCCTCTCCAAGACCTACTCGGTTGTTTTCTTGGCAGCCACAGGCACAGTGGTTAAGCTTAATGACTTACTAAGGTTAAAATCCAACAGCCACTCTATTAGAAGGATAGGCAAACTGATTTATAAAAATTACGGCCTTGCCTGATACTGGAACAATGACACACAGCCCAATGGAACAGAATCAAGAACCTATCTACCTGCAAACTCTGACTGCACTTTCTCTAAGACATATGTGGTGTTTGTTCTTTTGGCAGTTCAAGGAATGTTCAGTACTCTTTTCCAACACCACAGCTCAAAGGTATTAATTATTCTTCTGTCATCCTTATTCATTGTCCAGCTCTCAGGTGCAGAGCAAATGATCAAAGACCATGGCCTGAATCAGATGCACTTTGGTCTTCAAAGTGACATCACTATTCCTCAATAATTTGGAGAGGTCCTAACTGCAGACTTTTTCAGTGCAATGTGTCTCTTGATTTCCTGATTCCTGGTACCAAAAGTATTAACTGTGCATCCAAATAAGATGACGTTGTTGACAATTTTGATAGAAAGAGAACTGAAGCCTTTTGAGCTGTGGTGCTGGAGAAGAAAGTTGAATATACCATGGACTGCCAGAAGAACAAACAGGTTTGTCCTGGAGAGGGTGAAGCGGGCTGCTCCTTGGAGGCAAGGATTCTGAAGCTTCATCTGACATACTTTGGGCATACTGCAAAGAGGGACTTGGAGAGGAACATCATGTTTGGGAGAGTGGAGGGATAGCATAGGAGAGGAAGACCCTCAATGAGATGGATCGATTCAGTGACTAGGGTAGGAGTAAGTGTGCTGGAGACAGCGAGGTTGGCACAGGATAGAGCAGGATTTAGGACTCTTGTACATAGGGTCGCTATGAGTCACAAGCGACTTGATGGTGCATACCACCACCACTACCACCATAATGTTGCCTATCCGTCCAGAGGTAAAAATTTTTGTATTCTTGACAATGAGATGCAGTTCATATTGAAGGCTATATTCTCTGATCTTCTACAAGTGCCTCAATCCCTCAATCACTTTCAGCAAGCAAAGTTGTATCATCTGCATAATGCAGGTTATAGATTAGAGTTCTCTGATTTTGATACCACATTCTTCTTCACAGAGTCTAGCTTCTTGAAGAAGCCAGAGAGCTCTTTGGAGGCAAAGATGATAAAGGTTCGCCTCAGATACTTTGAACTTGTGGCTAGTAGGGGCTATTCTTTGGAGACAGACATTACGATAGGAAAGGCAAGGGTCAGTGAAGGACAGAAAGACATTCAACCAGGTAGCCTGCTTTAATAGGCTTTAGTGTGTCAAGAAGTATGAAGATGGCACAGGATAGGGCAGGGTTCAGATCTGTTGTTCATTGGGTCACTATGGGTCGTATTTGACTGAATACCTAACAACAACCTACAAACTAGTATTCAACCAAGGAAAGAAAACATATCATATAGGAAAAGGACAAACTTTTCAACAAATGGTGCTGGCAAAACTGGACATCTATCTACTTGCTAGAGAGGGTGAAACGAGGCTGCTCCTTTGAGGCCAGGACTCTAAAGCTTTGTCTGACATACTTTAGACATGTTGCAAGGACAGACAGTCTTGGATAATTAAGTCATGCGTGGAAGCCCTACAGAGTAGTTCTACTTGTCCTATAGGGGCAGTAGGAGTCTAAAACAACTTGATGGCAAAAGGTTTGGCTTTTGTTTAGCTGGCTCTTCACATATGAAAATATATCCATGTATATTTAAGTTGCCAAAGGATGTAGAATATTTAGCAGAGCAAAATTCATCTCATTCTCCTTAATTTGTGGACTCTCAAACTCTGCTTATAATACAACCATCCAAATTCAAAGCCAATCTCCAATACTCTATAGACTTTTCTCATTTTACTCCATCATCTTTTTTCAGTTCCAACTATGATACAAATTAGACATGTTTTTTGGTTTGGGGTTTTTTTAGATGTGTTCTCTGATAGAAGTCTGTCCGCAGATATTCAAATCACAGAGGCCCCAGCAGTATCAGTTAACTAACCTCAAAGGGGTTCAAGTTGAAGTAGGAGGAACCAGGACGGGTCAATCTCTCAATCTGATTTTTGGATGTTAAAACCGAATCTCTCTTTTCTATTTGCTTCACCTAAAATGAAGAAGAAAAGTTTCATTAATGAAGTTCTGAACTGTCTAATAAACTCTCAATTGTCTGCCTCAACATGTTATCATTTACATATTCAGCAAAATGTGTGTGTTCCGAACTTGCAAGATATTCTGCTTACCACTTTCAGAACAATTACAACAGCTACCATTTATTAAACTTTAATGTTATAAAAACTTTACATGTTATTTATTCTTCACAATAAGCATAAGGTAGATATTGCCATTATGCCCAATTTGCAGATTAAGAAAATGTAGGGCTCAAGAGATTAAAAACTTGTTCCCAACTACCCAACTTGTAAGGCAGAATTTTAACCAGAAGAAACATCAAAAGGATTCAAATATTAGTAACTCATAGCCCTGTCTTTCAGAACATTTCCAGTCTAATGATGAAAGATGTACTTGTGGGGGAGTAATACTAACATTACATTATAATTAAAACATTTTATTTTAAGAAAGGAAAAACAGTTATACTGAACTATGTTCACTAAAAGCAACATACAAAAAAAAGTGTCATGAGAGGAAGCAATGAAATTGGCTAAGGAGAACAAACACCAGGTCATTCCACAAAAACATCCTTGATGCCACTGTCCGAGCTGAAGCTTCAACTACTTGAAATGAATCTTTGATATACCATCTTAGATATCTAATGCTGCTACAACAGAAATAACACAGGTAGATGACTTTAACAAACAGGAATTATTTATTTTCTCACAGTTTAGGAGGCTAGAAGTCCAAATTCAGGGCACCAGCTCTAGGGGAAGATTTTTCTGTCAGCTCTGAGGAAAGGTCTTTGTCTCTTCCGCTTCTGTTTTCTGGTTCCTTGGAGATCTCCATGTGGCTTGGCATCAATCTTCCCAACACTTCCATTTGCTCAATCTGCCCGTTTTATATCTTACAAAAGACTAACTCAAAATACTCCCTACACTAACTTCCTCATTTGTATTACAAAAACAATCCATTCCCAAATGGGATTATAATCACAGGCAAAGAGATTAGGGTTAATAAACTATTTTTGAAGGAAACAGTTCAATCTGTAACAGTCTATCCTTTGGGCCCCCAGAATTCATCTCTGTCACATGCAAAACATTCACCCCATCACATTATCCCCAAAGTCTTAAAATCAACTTCAAGTTTAAAACCTCATTTTCTGAATCCTCTAAGTCAAATATGGGGGAGACTTTAGGGATATTCCATCCTGGGGCAAAATTCCTCTTCATCTGTGAACCTGTGAAATCTAGAACACAAGTTATCCGTTTCCAAAGTACAATAGTGGAACATGTACAAGGTAGACATTTTCCTTACAAATAGGAGAAAGTGGGAGGCAAAGAAGGGCAACAGGTACCAAGGAGGTCCACAACCTAATAGAAAAAGTTACATTAGCTCTCTAGGCTTGTAAAGAATCACATCTTCTCCAAGACCACTTGAACAATGGCTTGACACTCCAGACTCTGGATTCTAGGTGTTCTCTCCTTTTGGAATGGCAACTCCCTCAGCTATAGGCAGGCCCCTTTCTCCAACCCCAACCAGACTCCTCATTCTTCTGCCCCTTTACTTTGGATAGCAGCCCCTTCCCACTGGCAAACCTTAACTGTAGTCCCACATTTCAAAACCAAGTTGTTTAAAGATCTGATCCCACCCAAGAAGGCTTTGCTTGCTTTTGTTCCTTCTAAGTGTTGGTCTATTTCCTGGCTGTAGAATTCCAAGAGGTAGACAGTGTTCTAGCTTTCTTTCCTTTCATTATTTTTCCATCCATTTTTAGTCTAAGCTTATGAATTTTTCTGCTGTGATAGTTGGTCATTTAGCTCCAAAAGTCATGGGCTTGATCTCTTTGACCAAAAGAATGTGCAGTCATGACTTTGGTGAACGTCTAACACACGAGCCTTTAGTTTGTGCAATGGAATTTTCCAAACCTTTAAGTTTCTATTTTCATTTTTAAATATATCTCATTTAAGTAATCTCATTTTAAGTCATTCATTTTTCAAGTATATCTCTTTCTTCTTTATTGCAAGCAACAAGGAAAAATCACATAGCCCCTTTAAAGTCTTGCTTAGACATTGCCTCAGCTAAACTTCAAAGTTCATAATTTTAAATTCTACCTTCTATCAAACTCTTTGCCACTGCAAATAATAGATAATTAAAAATAAGCAATATCATTCTTCCTTCACTGTCCAATCATATGTTCATCATTTTCTTTTAAAGTCTCACCAAAAGCATATTTAATGTCCAAATTTCTAGCCACATTCTATTGCTGGTACCAAATGAATTCCCAAAAATAAGTGACTTTCTCTATAGCTCTACAGCTCTCCTCACATCCTTTTGAGCCATCAACAAAATTCCGCTGACATCCATCATTCTCCCAAAAGTCTTTTACAGACAATCTAAACTTTCATTATTAGAAATCTTGACATCTTTCCAGTCTTTACCAAAAGGTAAAAGACCAATTTCAAAATAACTTTCATATTTTAGGTGTTTGTTAGAGAGATACCAATATTCTACTTTCATTACAAAATTATCATTATTTTTAAAAAAAAAAAACAAAACCTCTAATTCATTGCTAAAGAGTCAGAGTCAGATGACTTTTTTTTTTTTAGATGACCTCTTAAGAGGTCACTCTCAAAAGGGGGTATAACCTCAGGCTTCTTGTTGTTAGAGTGGCTAACCTGGCAATTATCCATATCCTTAATAGAAAGAAACAATATGAACCCTGTCCGAGAGTCTCACAATCTGCTGTGCTTAAACTTATTCCTGCTGCTACTCTGGCCCTTTATTTTATGGAGGTTCTTCCACTTTTCACTGACTCTCCACTTTACCAAGCATGTCATCTTTCTCCAGGCACTGGTAACATGTCCAAAGTATAAGAGAAAAAGAAAATGTCACCATACTTGCTTTCAAAGAACATTCTGGCAGCACTTATAAAACAGATCTGTTTGTTCCTCACAAACATCGTAATTCAAAGACATCAATTATTTTGGTCTTCCTTATTCACTGTACAACTTTCACATGTATATGAAGTGACTAAAAATACCACGGTTTGGGGCAGGTACACCTTAATCCTCAAAATGGCAGTCTTGCTCTTTAGAGCTTTATAGGTGTCCTTGATAGCAGCTCAGCCCGACGCAATGAATTGTTTGACTTGACTGCTGCTTCCATGGGCACTGATTTTGCATCCAAGAAATATTAGATCTTGATAAGCTCAATCTTTCTTCATCTAACATGATACTGTTTATCAGCCCAGTTCTGAGGTTTTTGTTTGCTTTATGTTGAGGTATAATCCTTATTGAAAGCTATAATCTTTATACTTCACATCAGTAAGTGCTTCAAGTCTTCATTGTATGCAAGATTTATCACCTGCATACTGCAAAGTGTTAATAAGTCTTCCTCCAATCCAGATGCCTCAGTCTTTTTCATATAGTCCAGCTTCTCAGGTTATTTGCTCAGCATAGACTGAATGAGCATAGTGAAAGGATACGGCTCTGATGCACTCCCTTCCCTATTTTAAACCATGCCTTCTTCTGTTCAAATGATTGCCTTTGAATGGACACGTTCATCATGATCATAATTAAGTGTTCTGAAATTCCTATAGAGATTAAGATTTACACTACGTAGTTCCTACAGGTATAAAGGTTTGGATTTAAAATGCAAAGTTCTGGGTGACACAATTCAATTCATAAAATCATCTTTATATCTACTGTCAAAATAAGGCTAGAAAGAACTGAATAGAAGCCATTCCTCCTCAGTGTCTTCATTCTTTCTAAACAGCATAACTACACCTCCTGAACTTAGTTTTTGCAAAGCTCTTACCACCACCTAGCACTACATTGTACAGGGATGCGCTGTTTTAACATCCATTCAGGCAAAGTTCAGCTACATAATATTGCTATGATTCCATAACTGTTTTGTTTTTTAAAAGGAAGCCAGTTCTCCCTTATTTACCCAACAGTTCTAAAGAATTCAAATCCATACTTGCAGACTGAGCAAAGTATAAGCAGGTGAGGTAGAGGATCTGGCTCTGGGCTCAGGTTCTCAGGCTTTATCTCGCAGGAAGCAATGGGAGTTGCCAGGAGGGTCAACCCTTCCTCTGCCTCCCCCAGCATCAGTGGAAGCAGTAAGTAGGACAACGAGAAGCAGGAGCCTATAAAGTTTATAATACGGTGTTTGACTAATGTCCTATTTCACAGAATGTGTCATGGATTTCAAGTGTCAGATACCTGTATATCTGTTTGAGTTTATCCTCCACTATAATATACTAGCTCTATAAAGATAAATATTTTTCTCTGTTGTCTAGTATAATATTCTCAGCACCTAAACACTATCTGCTAAGTTTCAGATGTGCAATAAACACTGGCTGAATGATAATCCGTGTCCTACCTTAAGCTGTTATTTCCCATCCAATGTATATGAGCCAGGGTTGAAATTCCACTCCTTCACTATCTTAATCTAACTGAATCAAGTTCACTGTAATTGCTGAGTTGTCACTGGAGGCTAGTAAATTTTTATATCAAGGCATCAAAGTTTCAGGTGAATTAACTTTAAAAGGTTTTTGTTAGTACAGAAAATATTTTTTTAAAAAAGAAAATATACATACTAATTTCCACTAAATCCTCTGGAGATCCTACTATGTAACAGGCACTATTAAAAATGCTGGAGATAAAGTGTACATGACATGATTACAACTTCAATACTCAACCTTTCAACTTGAAAGAGGACCCATTATCAATCTTTTTCTAACTCTGACAAAAAAATGGTTATACTAGAGGACTCACTGTAATACCAGAGATAAGCGGTTCAAATCCTTCAGATGCTCTTCTGGAGAAGGAACGGTAATCTCCTCCTGTACCAATCAGATCCCATTTGACGGTACACACACACACACACAAATTGTTTTAAAAAGGTTATACTTTAAATTTTATAACATCGTCTTTTATATATTCATTCCTTTGACCCTCACAAAAATTCTTGCTTTACTATTACCGCTTTCATTTTAAAGATGTGGGAACTGAGGATCTGCAAAACTGATGCCTTGAAAGAATGCTATTCAAGTTAGTTCCCTTGCATTCATTCTCTGGGTCCTGACTCCAAATGCCATGTGTTTCTCTCTTTCACGCCTCTACCTAATATTTACTATGTAAATACGGTAACAAACTTAGGATGGCCAACAAGGATAAAATCAAGCTTACTTCCGTCCTAAAATAATACCAAGCTGTTAACGTGACCTCAACGTAATACTTCACCTTCATATACATCATCTGTAAAATGGGGAGAATGCCTGTCTGGCACAACGCACAGTGACTGGCGATTGTAAATGGCAAGAATAAGCATGAATACGATCTACTACAGAAAGCTGAGACAAAGGGTCACTTTTGTTTCAAATAAAAATTAGTACCAAGGCAGCTAAGTCACTCGAGGCAGGCCCAGGCTCTGACGCCCCGGACTTGTCGTATTTGGGGTCCTTGGCGCGCGCTCAGGCACGCGGTGCGCCGCACTGGCCTTCTCCCTCCTTACGTCGGCCTCCTTATCTGGGCCCTTCGTTCTTTACTCCACCGTCCTTAGTAACTCTGAGGCAAGACGCACACACACCCCCTCCACCCCGGCGCTTACCGCCACGAAGGCCGGACAGGAGAAACCGCCCAACGGCCCAGGCCAAGGGCCCCAAGGCCTTCTCCCGCCGAAAAAAGGAGGCGTGGGAGAGGTGGCCACGATGACACTATTCCTCAACTCCAAACTCACCTCACTGTAGAAGGTCATAAACGCATCCTCTGTGCCGCCTCCGCCGCCCGTAGCCCCGCTCTCCCCAGAAGCCGCCATTTCTCCAACCCACCCTCCGCCTCACGTGGTTCGTCCGGGTCAGACTCTGGCTCCGCCCCGCTTCTACTCTTAAAGGGCTCTCACCCCAGCCAGCCACGGCTCTAAGCAGATTTTGTTTTCCTTTTCCTTGACTTGAAATTACGGAAAAATTACCACTTAAAAATAAGTAATTTGGTAGACTTTAGTTCACTTACAGTGTTGAGCAACAACAACGTTCACCTAGTTCTAAAACATTTTTCTCACTCCAAAAAGAGTTCCAATGTTCCAATAACTATTAAGACGTTACCCTTCCTCTTCCATCTCTCTTCAGTCCCTTGCAATTTCCAGTATGTTCTTCTCTCCGTGGATTTGTCTATTCTGGATATATCTTTTTTGCTTTCTTCTCATTTTATTTGTTTTCCTTATTGTGGTAAAATAGATACACCGTAAAATTTGCCGTCTCAACTGTAAAGTCACCTAAGAAGGAAAAGAACCCACTTCAGGCTAAAAAAGACAGTGTATTGAGGAGAAACTGAAGGGCTGACTCCAATAAAGAGACCAGTAGCTACTTAAAATTAGAGTGAAGTGTTACATTGCCTTACAAGGAAATTAGGGAGTTAGGATATTCAGAGTTGTTTGGTACAAGATAACAGAGCAGGCCGGGGTTATACTTATTCCTTCGAAAGGGAGGTGAAATAGCTCTTAACAGAGGTAAACATTTGCAGCTGCTGCTTTGATCATTTCTGTGGTTGTTCTGGGAAAAGGAATGGAGATCAACTCCACAGTCCACACATCAACCATTAAAAAAAAAAAAAACAATTCAGCAATGCAGTATCTTTATTTACGTTTACGATGTTATACAATGCACCAGCATGGCCTAATTGTTGTTATGTGCAATCGAGTGGCTTGGGACTCATAACGAACGACCCTATGTACAACAGCCCTAAACTCTGCTCTGTCCAGTGCCAATCGCACTGTCTCTAACACTCTCATCCTGATTATCCCAGTCACTGAATCAATCCACCTCATAGAGGGCCTTCCTTTCCTGCGCTGTCCCTCCACCCTCCCAAGCATGATGTCCTTCTCCAAGGACTGGTCTATCCTTTACAACATGTCCAAAGTATGTTAGATGAAGCCTCAGAATCCTTGCCTCCAAGGAGCCACCCGGTTTAACCCTTTCCAGGATGAATCTATTTGTTTTCCTAGCAGTCCATGGTACTCTCAATACTCTGCTCCAGCACCACAGCTCAAAGGCATCAATTCTCCTTCTATCCTCCTTGGTCATTGTCCAACCCTCTGATGCACAACAAGTGATCGTAATGACCATGGCCTGTATCAGACGCACCTTAGTCTCCAGAGAGATACCATTGCTCTTCAGTACTTATGGCCTAATTAGAAAACTATTTTTTCCAGGTGTTTGCCCCCCACCCTTTGCATTAACGATATTAATCATTATATTGGTTGATCAGTGGTAGAATTCTTGCTTTTCATATAGTAGCCCAAAATTCTTTTCCTGGCCAATGAACCTGGCCAACTGTCCTCAGCAGAGCTTCTCAACTAAGATGACTAAGAGGAAGGCATATTGATCAACTTCTGAAAATCAGTCGATAAAAATGCTCTGGATCACCACAATAAGATAAAAGTAAATAACCCAGTTGAAAAATGGGCACAGGATATGAACAGACACTTTACCAAAGAAGACATTCAGATGGCAAACAAACACTTGAAGAAATGTTCAAAATCCCTAGCTCTAAGGCAGATGCAAATCAAAACAACTATGAGTTATCATCTCACCGCAATCAGAATAGCAAAATTTAACAGAACAGCAAACATCAAATGCTGGTGAGGTTGTGGAGAAACTAGAACCCTTATTCACTGTTGGTGGGAGCGTAAAATGGTGCAACCACTATGGAAGGCGGTATGGCACATTCTCAGAAAGTTGCAAATAGAGATACCATTTTTTTTATTTTATTATTGTGTGTGTGTGTGTGTGTGTGCGTGTGTGTGTACCATCAAATCAGATCTGACTGGTACAGGAGGAGATTGTTCCTCCTTCTCCAGCAGAGCCTCTGGTGGATTTGAACCGTTCACCTCTAGGATTGCAGTATACCTTCTTGCCACTAGGCCACCAGAGCTCGCCAGAGATACCATTTGACCCAGCAATTCCATTACTGGGAATTTACCCAAAAGAAACCATAACTGCCACCCAAGCAGATATATGCACACCCATGCTTATTGCAGCTTTGTTTGCAATAGCAAAAAGCTGGTTACAACCCACGTGCCCATCAACAAACGAATGGATAGAGAAGCTCTGGTATATTCACACAATGGAATACTATGCCACATTGAAAAACAAGGAACTCATGAAATATTATGCAAAATGGATGACCCTGGAGGAGGACATTATGCTGAGTCAAATATCTTAGTCACAAAAGGACAAATATTGCATAGGGCCACTGTTGTAAAATGGGACTGACATCGGGGTTGAAGGAAGACAGAAAAGGAGGGGAGGAATGATATATATTGCATTGAAACAGATGAGGGCAAGAACTATTTAAAAGGGACATATGGGTACTCTTGTCATTACAGAAGTCCAGGGTGAAGGCTGAATAGTGGAGTGGACTTGGGGGAAGAGATTGCATAACAATGAAAGTTTTTCTTTTCTTTCCAAGAAGAGTTAATTTGGGGGGAGGGGTGAGTAGGGAGAAAAGTGCAACAATGAATGACTGTAAACCCTAAGTCTTTGTAAACTTTCATTAAAATTAATTTTTTTTTAAAAATCCTGTGGATCACAGTAGTCCAATCTGTAGCCAGTCATGAGGACAGCACAGGACTGCGCTTCATGTCCTTTTTTTGTGCTTGGGATCCCCATGAACTGAGAAGAGGCCACAAGAAGGCAACTAACAGCAGCAAGAATAGACTAATGGCATGCAATCATGTCCACTTCTAACCTTTTTTAGTAGGGGATCTCTGCTAGCATAGTCTGTAGGAAGTTGTACTGCTAACCCTAAAGCAGTTCTTTTTTTCCATTCATGAACATACATGTGCATGTATTTAATTGAGCCCCTGTTTTCAACTCTTTGGAATATATATATTTATATATAAATAAAAATTGCTGAGTCATGTAGGAAACGTTCTCTTAAGATTTACAGGCTTGAAAATCTAACAGAGTCACTATGAGTTGGAATGAGTGGGGTTCCTGGGTAGGACAACTTTCTTTTGCCCTAGCTGAGGTGACAGTGTGGGTTCCTGAATGGTGATATTATGGCATGGATGGTGGCTCAGCTGAATCTTCAGTGTTTGTGCTTAGCACAAAAAAAACCAAAGGACAGGGACGTGATGGTCTACCTGTTTGTGTTTTCTGTTAGAGGCACAAAATCAATCTTATCCATTCATTGTATTGGGAAAATTATTTGTATGTTGTTACCTATAGCTTCCTGGATCATTGAATAGTCTGTGCATAGGATCTTTAAGTACTGCCACCCGAGGCTTGAATTTGTTCTTCAGTTCCTTCAGTTTAAGAAATACCAAGTGAGTTCATCCCTTTTTATTTTTTTACTCCAACACTTTGCACATTTCATTGCAATATTTTACTTTGTCTTCTGGAGTTGCTCTTTGAAATCTTCTGTCCAGGTCTTTAACTTCCTGGTTCCTTCCCTTTGCCTTGGTTTCTCGGTGTTCTAGTGCAATATTCAGAGTCTCTTCTTACATGCATCTCAGTTTTTTCTTCCTCCTCTGTCTTTGCCATGATCTTTTGCAGTCTTCATGGATGATATATTTTATATAATCCCACAGCTCATCTAATCTTCATTCATTAGTGTCCAAGCCCTCAAACCTGTTCTTGAGATGGTTTTTAAACTCAGATGGTGTATACTCAAGGTCAAATTTTGGTTCTTGTGGATTTGATTTCATTTTCTTTAGTTGTAGTTTGAACTTACATATGAGTAGTTGATCTATTCTACAATCATCACCTGGCCTAGGTTTCACAGCTGATATTGAGCTTCTCCATCAATTCTTTCCAAGATGTACACAACCTGATTCCTGTGTAGACCATCAGATGAGGTCCTCATGTATAGTTGCCATTTGTGTATCTTTTAAGGGAATTTACAATGAATAAATCAGTGATTGTACCGAATTCTATCATTAAAAGAAGATAGAAGAAGTGCACAAAGTCACTGTACCAGTAAGAATTGGCTAACACAAAAGAGGGTCATGAAACAACATAAGACCAAGAGGCAATGGTGATGGAGGAAGTTCAAGATGTTCTGAAGAAATTAGAAAAAAAACAAGGTCCCAGGAATTGACAGAATACCAGTTCACATATTTCAACACACTTATACTGTCCTCAGAATGCTCACCAGGTTGTGCCAGGAAATCTGGAAGACTACCTGGCCAACTGACTGGAAGAGATCCATATTTATTCCCATTCTAAAATAGGTGATCCAACAGAGTGTGGAAATTATAGAACAATATCACTGATATCACATGCAAGAAAAATCTTGCTGCAGATTATCCAGAGACTGGAACAATACATCGACACAGAACTACCAGAAATACAAGCTGAGTTTAGAAGACACCATGGCACTAGGGACATCATAGTCAATGTAAGATGGATGAATCTTGGCTGAAAGCAGAGAGTATCAGAGGAATGTATATCTGTGTTTCATTGATTATGCAAAGGCATTTAACTGTGTAGATCACAGCAAATTGTGGCTAACCTTAAGAAGAATGGGAGTCCCATAACACTTGATTGTGCTCCTGTGCAATCTATATTTGTACCAGAAGGCAGCTGTCAGAACAGACAAGAGCAAGGAAACACTGCATGGTTCAAGATCAGGAAAGGTGTATGTCAGGGATGCATCCTATTTCCATAGCTTTTCAATCAATATGTGGAACAGATCATTTGGGAGACTGGATTTTATAAGGAGAAAGTGGCATCAGTATTGAAGGAAGACTCGTCAACAATCTGTGATATGCAGATAATATAACCTTGCTTGCTGAAACTGAGGAAGACCTAAAGCATTTGCTGCAGAAGGTCAAGGACTGCAGCCTTCAAGATGGATTGAAGCTCAACATCAAGAAAACAAAGATTCTCACCACAGGGCCAATTGGCAGCTTCATGATAGATGGAGAAGAGATTGAGATTGTTAATAACTTCAGCTTGCTGGTTCCACAATCAACACTCTTGGCACTAGCAGTCAAGAAACAAAAAATGAATTACATTAGGAAAATTTGCTGCCAGGAACTTCTCCAGAGTGCTGAAGAGCAAAGATGTTGGTCTAGAGACTAAGGATCGCCTGATCCAAGACATGGTCTTAGTAATTACTTGCTATGAATCAAAGCTGGACAATGACTAAGGATGATAGAAGAAGCATCAATGCCCTTGAATTGTGGTGCTGGAGAAGAGTAATGAACATACTGTGGACTGCTAAGAGAATAAACTGGTCTGTTTGGGAGAGGATGAAATCAGGCTGCTCCTTGGAGGCAAGTATTCTAAAGCTCCATCTGACATACTTTGGGCATCTTACCAGGAAAGACCAGTCTTTGGAAGTAGAGGGACAATGTAAGAAAGGAAGACCCTCGATGAGATGGATTGTTTCAGTCACTGGGGTAAAGGGGATAGGTGTGTCAGACACATGAAGATTGGCAAGGGATAAAGCAGGATTTAGGGCTGTTGTACATAGGATCACTATGAGTCGCAGGCAACTCTACAGCATATAACAACAACAAATAGCCATGTAAACCTCCTGGGTGTTTTTATTCTGTCTTAATGGCTTACCATGCACGAGTTAAAATTGGACCAAGAGCATTGGGCTTGTTAGGGATGTTGTTGTTATGTACTGTCAAGTTGCCTGAGACTCTAGGAACCCTGTATGCAACAGCTCTGAAGCTTGCCTTGTCCTGAGCCAGTCTCACTGACTCTGACACACCTACCCCCATTGCCCCAGTTACTGTGTGTACATCTCATCCCGGGTCGGGTCTTCCTTTCCTGCACTATCTACCCTTCCACCCTTCCAAGCATGATGTCCTTTTCTAAGGACAGGTCTCTCCTGGTCATGTGCCCAAAGTATGTGAGACAGACCTTCAAAATCCTAGCTTCCAAGGAGAAAGTTAGTTTCAACTCTCTTCAAGAGAAACCTATTTGTTTTCTTGGCAACTCTTCTCCAGCACAACTCAAAGGCATCAATTCTTCTGTCACTCTTAGTCATTGTCCAGCTCTCTTACGCATAGCAAGTAATTATGAAGACCATGGCTTGGATCAGGCACTCCTTAGTCTCTAGATCGACATCATTGCTCTTCAGGACTCTGAAGACGGCCCTGACAGCAGATTTTCCCAGTGCAATTCATCTTTTGGTTTCCTGACTGCTGGTGCCAAGAGTGTTGATTGTAGAGGCAAGCAAATTGTAATTGTTAACAACCTTAATCTCTTCTCCATCTATTATGGGATAGGAGCTCCTTTAGAGAAGGTGGTCTAGGAAAGTTACTCTGAGAAGGTGATATTTAAATTAATACTTCAAAGTATCAAATATCAATCCAACCAGAGAAAATTACACCTCTAGAATCTGATGTGTGTGTCTGCTAGTGTCACTGCGGGCCCCTATCATCCAAATTGGAGCATCCAAGGCATAGGCATTCTAGATAAAGCCCTCTAATCTCTATTGATACTAGTAGACCAGGAAAGAAAAGGTTTTCAACAATAATAACGTTAAAATTTGAAACTTCAGGTCGGATTCTAAAGTCAAAGTCAGCTTCTAACACTGTCTTCCTTGCTTTCCAACCTCCCCCATCTTTATTATTTAGGTGTTGGCCGCAGAGACTTTGCTAGGGGTTGGCTGAGACTAGGCAGGCCTCTCGCTCGGGATTCGCTGTTAATAACAGGAACCCCGCCTTATTCCTCTAATGATTCGCCACTACCATGTTTGTCCCGCCCCTTCACAGAAAAGATTGGCTGCTTAGCTGTCGGCGCCGTTAGCGCCTACAGATCTGCTGTATCGCTACGAAGGGGTGCAGCTCTAGCAGCAATGGCAACTGCGTTGGCGGCGCAAATACGGCTCGGAGCGTTGGGCCTGAGAGTCATGCAAGCCCGAGGCTTCAGTTCGGACCAGGTAGGATGGTGTCAGTGGCCGCTGCACCCGTGCTGAGTGCAGTTCTTGTCCTCTTCTCGGCATCTTTACCAAGGTCCCTGTCTCTCTCCGCAGTCGGATAACCTCCAGGGAAGCGCGGGCTCCGTCAGGGAGGCCGGCGGGGCCTTCGGAAAAAGAGAAGCGGCTGAAGAAGAGCGATACTTCCGGTGAGACCCACTGGTCCCAAGTCCATCCCTTGACCTCCCGGGGGCCTTCAATCCGCCTGAAACTTTGAGCAGCCCCACCCAACCCTACCAGGTGCTCAGGACTCCCCAGTCGCCAGCAGAACTTGCAGTCCCTCGAACCCATTACACCCCAATACTTGAGATTCTTGTATCAAGCAGCCCTATCCCCTAACCTGCAGTCCCGAGGTTTCCAACCCCAAACTGTTTGCTCCAGCAGTTCTCCAAAATCTCCACCCACGGTAGACCGCCCGTATCCTTTGCCATCCCCATCCGTGGGGTTCTCCCTGGGTCCTCTGAAACGTCCCCTAGGTCCTTCACAGTGTCCCGGAACCAACGTTCCTACTCGCCTACCCTTTGAGTATCCCAAGGTCCTCACCCCTCATCCCCATTAACCACTCTGCCATCTCTTTTCTCCCCACACTCCTTAATTTTGCAAATCCTTTCTTATTCCTCTTGAGAGTAGAAAACTACTGAGTTTTCGTGTCTCCTCAAACTCTCAACATTTTATAGACCCCCTTATCCCACCCCAGGAGCTGGAGGCACTTTCATAGTTGTACTCCACACCCTTCGGGAGACTTTTGGGTAGGTCAGCCCTGGCCAGACCTTGGCCTATAGATTTTCCTCTTCCGTTTGAGAGAAGGAAGTGGGCTGGGCCTATACCTTTCCCAGCCCTGTATTATCTTTAACTGACGTTTGGCCAATTCTGTTCAGGAGCCTGGAACAAGTCTTGCTATCCTCCCTTTTTGCCTGTTTCTCTCTGCCCACTCTTGCTCAGTTATATGAATTATCACTGGCACTTGCAGGCAAAAATACTGCCGTGTTGCTCTTGGGGGTGCTTTTGGCCCTGATGACTTATGTGTAACAGGAGATATTTACTGTATTACAAGATTTCCAAGATCATTGATACACCTGAACAACCCATTTTTGTATACTTGGTGTTGTCGTTTACGATCAAGTCAGTTTTCAGAGGCAATAAATAATGTGGAAGAAGATTGCCCATCTTTCTTCCATGGAGCAGATGGTGGATTTGAACCACTTGCCTTAGAGTTGGCTGCACAATTCCTTACCACTAAGCCACCAGCAGCATTTGCATATATAGAAGCTTTCAGCCAGTCTGAATCCATTAGCTGCTCCTCGGGAGAAATGTGGTCAGTTTCTACCCATATAACCTCTGAAAACCTGCTGGAGGATCAGCTGTGAGTTTGTTCCAACTCCATAGAAATGACTTTACAGTTAACAAAAGCTAAGCCCTAAAAATGACAAACCAACATACAGACAGACCTATGCCTCAATTTTCCTTCTCCCTGAACAAAATTTGAATAGAAGGTGAATATTTGTCCTTTGTCTGCTAGCTCTCCTCTCCCTCCCCTAATCCTGTATTTTGCTCCCTTTTTCCCCACTAAAAAACAGTTCTGGTTTCCTTGGCTGCCTCTTTGCTAAGGTATTGGAGACTTATGGTACATCTCTCCAGAGTTTTCTACCATAAAGAGGAATATAAAAGTAATTGCCCCGTAATGGGGGAGTTCAGGCATGAACACCAGGAAGATGGTATCCCTTTGGTTATTTCCTTGAGGTAGTCTTCTGTTGGTGAAGAGAGGATAGGAGAGAATGACCAGTCAGATTCTCAGAGGATTGGAACTCCTGGTTTTGTTTTTACCATAGATATTTTGGGCTATGCTTAAAGGTCTCCTTGGGTTGAGGGATTGGAGTTAAGCCAGAGGCACACTGTGTTTTACAGAGCACAGGCTAAAGAACAGCTGGCAGCCTTGAAAAAACACCATGAAGATGAGATCATACATTCTAAGAAGGAGATTGAGCGACTGCAGAAAGAAATTGATCGGCATAAGCAGAAGATAAAGAAACTAAAACAGGATGATGATTAAGTGCACACTGTTTCCAGAGAATGGCTATATAATTGTTGTCCACTTCTAGTGGACATAGTTATGTGTTAATATTAGTCTGTGTGCTGTTGACAAATAATAATAAATTGTTATCAAACTGTTTGATGCTTTTTTACTATCTGGAGAACAAGAGGAAAAGAGATACTGCTAAACTGCTGAATTCATTGATAGTGTCCCTGCATACAGACAAAGCACTCATAAATGCAGTGGTGGCTAACGTTGGGGCCCAAGGTCAGGGAGAGGGGCAAGGTCCACTAAAACACTTTTTCTCCTGCCTAATTCATCTTAATGCTTAAGTAACTTGCATTCCAGGACACCTAGCTATTTATTAAGAAACATCATAGTTCTGGTGGCCTAGTCCATAGGGAGTTCAGCTGCTAGCAAAAAGGCCACATGCCTCTGGATGTTCAAATCTACCTGTGGCTCCTAGGGAAAAACATAGGCAGTCTCCCATGGGATTTACAGCCTCCAAATTCCCCTTGGAGGGTCAACTATGAGTCAGTTTCAACTGGGAAGCAATGAATTGTTTTTTGTGGGTTCCCCCCCTCCCAACATTGCAGAGGTCTTTAGGGCTATTAAATGAGAGACTTAGGGAAAACATTGGCTCTACCCACACATTCAAAACACTGGACAGCTGTTTAAAGCAGGTGTTTCCATGAAATGGGGCATTTTGGATTACAATGCTGTCAATGGAAATTTTATAGATTTCCCTCACAAGTGCTGGAATCCTAGTGCTCAACAACAATATGACTTCAAAACAAAATATAAGAGATTATTTTTTTAAAAAAATTAGGAATAGACTTCAGCATATATTACATTTTTAACACCTTCACTTCCACTACTCATACCACCTTACCTCTATCCTCACTAAAATAAAGATAGAAAATTCTCTAGATTTTGTGGGAGGTAGCAAATGTCTAATTTGTATATGTAAAATGGTTGAAATGACAAATTATGGGAGATACATATCTCATCATAAAGTTTAGTTGCTTTTAAATTTCCTAACTTACTTTAGGCTTGTCTGTAGGAGACTAGTCCTTGAAAAAAAGACATCATGCTAAGAAAGGTGAAAGTCAAAGACCGGAAAATGGATTGACACCGTGACTAACAATGGCCGTGAACCATTTTTAGCAGAACCCAGTGGGTGGTTGCTATGAGTTGGAACCATTCAAAGATAGTTTAATTCTGACCATTGTTTTTTTTTTTTTCTATAATTATATTTTATT